TAGCAAAGTGGCCCTGGTGAGCAGTGTGTGCCTTATCAAGTATCAACAAAGGGCAGTTTGCTCTCCTACTTCCGAATCCAAAGAGTAAACGTGTCGCCGACATATTGTTGCAGATATTCATTAATCAATTTCTTACTTTATTTAACCGCTTTCTTGTCTATCTGACCATCTTTCTTGAAAATTAGTAATTCCATACGAATTAAAACACTACCTGAACCACGCAGAAATGAAAAGCATTTTTGGAAAGCATTTATTTATAGCAAATACAAAATATATCCAGTAACTGTATTTAATCCCATCTTCTCTTTGTATAGTAGTAGTAGTTGGAAAACAGAACCCTAAGGGATTCTCTGTGAGAACAATTCGCCGCCAGATTGATACTTTCTTGTATAACTTGTAAACCTCTCTCATGACTCTTTCTTGCAAACTCTTGTCCAACTCTCACTAGCTTACTTTCATACTCACTTTTGCTCTTTTTCTTGAAATTTATGGTGTAAAAAAGGGCCCTTTTAAATTTTGTTGATTATCTTTGGGTATGCTTCTTTAATTTATGGAAATTATTTTTCTTTAGTGTCTGATCATATAGTTTCGATGATTTTGTTTATCATCAAGAATTGAACGTTCTTGATTCTTGATCGTCAAAGATTGTGATTTTTGTGAAACCAAAGCTTTGATCTTCAGGGTGTCTTTATGGTTTCGTTGGTTTTTAGTGTGCGTTGGTGGAGTTAATTTAAGCTTTTTCCCTTTTTGGAACGTTTGAATAATTTGTGGGTTTTAAGGTCGTGGTAAGAAAAAATGTTATCTGAATTGGGCAGGAGACAGATGCTTAATAGTAATGAAAATCCCTTTGGAGATGACTTGGAGAAGGAGATAGGGTTTTTGCTCCGTGAACAGCGGCGCCAAGAGGCTATTGATCGTGAAAAGGAGCTAAATTTGTACAGGAGTGGGTCAGCTCCGCCTACTGTTGAGGGTTCGCTGAGTGCTGTTGGTGGGCTGTTTAACCATGGTGTTGACGGCAGCAGTGGCAATAACTCTGCCTTTGCTGAGTATGCAAAAATCAAGAGCAGTAATGGTTTCATGTCAGAGGAGGAGCTTAGGTCTGATCCTGCATATTTATCTTACTATTACTCAAATGTCAATCTGAACCCAAGGCTGCCGCCTCCTCTGTTGTCAAAGGGGGATTGGCGGTTTGCGCAGAGGTTACAAGGAGGGAATTCGACGATTGGGGATAGGAGGAAGGTGAATAGAATTGATTCTGATGGTGCTGGGGGATCCCTGTTTTCGATGCCACCTGGATTCAATTCTGAGAACCAAGAGAGTGAGAATGAGACGGATAATGTGCTGGGTTCTGAAGAATGGGATGTTGATGGATTGATTGGTTTGCCTGGATTAGGGCTGGGTAGCAAAAAGAAGAGTTTTGCTGAAATATTTCAGGTGAATAACTTGCATAAATTTGCTTTCTTTTTATGGATTTTCTGTAATCCTTTACTTGGAGATGTCCTCCTCTTTTGCGATTGCAAAATGCTACTGATACTGTGCTTAATGTTGTGCTTGCCATTTGACATTAGTCTTTTTTTTGTTTACTGTCGTTTATTGACTTATATATCCAAGTTTTCATACTTATTAAAACATTATTCTTCTTATGCATGTATTGAAGAGCTATACATGATTGTTATGTTCTTTACATGTGCTACAATTGTCACATATCTATCTGAATATATATAGGCACGAGCTTAACTTCATTGAGTGCAATCTGTGGAATACATTTGTTCTGTGAGTTAAAAGGCTTTGCTAATACTCACTGCTGGAGCCACAATTCTCACGTGTGTGGGGGTGGGGGGTCGTGTCAGTTCTGGAGCGACGATGAGGGAGGGGATATGTATATATTTTAAAAAAAAAAAAAAAAAAAAAATGTTAGGGG